CTTACAGTGTCCCTGTGCTTCTTCCCGCGGAATTCCCAATGGTATCCGAGATACAGAGACTCCGAGACATATCTGAACAGAATGGAAAGAAGACTGCTGGGTGTTGTTGTGCGCGGTTTGCACGCCGGTCACGCATGCAAAGCGACCGGCAGCTCCAGCAACATTTATTTTTCAAAGAGCGCGCATGGGGGTTAATAGTTTGTATATCGAGTCGTGTATCTCCTCGACAGGCTTAACGCGCACACCTATGGCGTCTGTTATCGATAGTCACGTACGTAGTCAAAGGGATGCACGCACACCGTCAGGAACACAGCCCGGCGCGTGTGGCCCGGCGTAAAACGGATCGAGCGTATCAGACAGCGATTCCGGGTTGAGAGGGATCCGATGGAGATGGATGGCCGTTCCCAGGGGATGGTAATAGTATGCCGGTGCGCACACCGAGCCGTCGGGTTAGGTGGATAGGTCCTCCAGGGTTCAACATTATGCCGTTCCGCATTGTTGCCTGGTATTACGATGAGCCTACTCGACTTGGACCACATGGCGCCACACTGGCTGGTCAGTTTGACATTAAACGCCATAACAGGATACGCTGACAAATTTCGATCTAATTGAAGCCCGCAGGCTGCCACCTTCCGGGCAGCTAGGAGCGACATCTTTCATTATTTCGTGTCCTTTGCGACTGCCGTAGAGCGACATGGATGTTCGAATAACGGAACAGTTACTTAGTTAACGCGATATTGATTTGTACAGTAAATCGTTTTGCATATTGGATTGACTTAGATCGAACTGATTACACGCGGAACGTATGTTTAGATAATTGCGAATTCTGATATTGGAGGATCGGATAATATTCAGGTTCTACTGTATTTAAGTATTTACAGTCGCAAATTGATTATTCAAATTACATTTATTGGTTGCGATGCCGTTGGCAAAAGTGCATTCGGACGAGATGTTCGCTCGATCGGAGTACCAATGTTTAATTATGAAAAATCAATGAACTTTGACATTGTTTTCTAACGTGACATTTCGTATTACACAATGTAATATTAGTATGGCTCCAAGCCGACAAAGCTGGAATCTATTAACATCCATCGCCAGCGACATTTCAAATTCTTTATTTTGCAATAACTGAATCGATAAAAACACCTTTCTTGTTACACTTTTGACGAAAGTAACTTTTGTTCGACACCGCAGCTACATAAAGACAATTATATAGTTGGGTTGCAGTATATACCATTTAATAATACCTTATAATTATTTATTGATGTATTCGTATTAAGACGATAACATAATTTTCGTATTAATGTAATAAAAATACAGGTCCGTGTTTCATGCCGATTCCAGTTATTGTGGGGTTTAATCGATTTGAAATATATGTTTAATAATCGGACGACGGAACTCGGGTCCATATAGACCCAGAGTGTTATTTGACTATCTAGTTCCTAACAATTCATTTAAATTTTCACATTTTACGTTTCATTCAGTGAAATAAGAATCAACTTAATAACAATGTCTAATTATAATCTTCTGTTTCTACTCTTCTCGTGAAAGTACAACTTATGAGATTATTATAAATGTACCTTTAAATATTCTTAGC